GGTGGGATATATGGCTTTCGTATTACAGGATATCCATGTAGTGATGAGACAGTTCAGTTTAAAAACTGGTTTCAAACTAAGAATACTTGCTGAAATTTCTTAGTAGCTATCTAAATTCTGTTGAAATTATACTAAATTATTAGTAAATAGGGCATCGAAATTCTGTAAAATTTTGAAACCCATTGAAACTGAAATTCTAATTAACAATTAGTGTGTAACCCATTGAAACTCTGCTGAAATATTTTTGGAGGGATTTCGGCAAGCATCCTTATTTCAAACTGATCAAACCAAATGAACCAGTTCAAACCGAGATCATTAAGGTACGTATTTAGTTAGTGTGTGATTTCTTTTGACAAAAAACTATCAATACCAATAAATATTTAATAAAAATCATTTTTCGATAATTTTAGATTAATTAATGCTCTATTATATTATAATGCTCTAAATTCTGGCGACTTTAATAATCTATAAATTTAATAACGCTTGTTACTTTTATTTGTTTCGCAATGGATGAAGATTTGAGTTTGTTAATTTCAAAGGACAAGAAAATGAGTTTGCTAATCTTGAAAGACAAGAAAATGAAAAAGGATATTAATATTGAGTGCTATTGCTCGTGATTATTTATGTATACAAGTATTGCTTCTGAACAAGCTTTTTTGGTTGCTGGCGATACACTTACTCGCACCAGAAATTGCTTGTTACCTGAGACAGCAAGAGCTGTTCTCTGCGTTAAAAGTTGGATAAATGGCATTGGTGAAATTAGGGTTTATATTTCAATTAACGTGTCGAATTTGACTTTTATTATATTTCAATGTTAATTAGATTTTTTTAACATATTTAAATTTAGCATTTATCGTTAGAGTTCAACGTTAATTAGACGAAAATTTCTGTATATTGATATCACAGAACTGATATCGTGAATCATCAATTAAACCAGTTTGAACGGTTCAGTTCGGCTAAACCGAACGCCACATCACTAATTACAGTAAGGGCCCGCTTTAACTAAATTTAGCAATGTCTGGTTTTTAAATTTCTAATCAGGATTCCATAAAGTGGTGCCACAAGCATTCATTGGTCAATTAAATTTGGATCATCAACCAAATTACATTGATTGGTCAATTTAATTTTTACTTCTCTTGAACCTATTGCTATATACATGTACATGTATATTCGTACTACAAGTATTATTACTTTTCTCGATAAATATAACAGGAGAAACTACACAAAAATTATTGCAATTGCACCGCGATTATTTATTCTACACTTTATTCAATTGAAGCTAACATCTCCTAAAGTTAATTGTGATGTTTCCTTGTGACGGAAGGTTCATGTGAATAATCAACATATCAGATATTGCAAAAATGGCACAAGATTACCTCTCTGTTGTAATGAGACTGGTATAATTAAAGTATTAAATTTAGAAAAAGATTAATTTTATCGAATTTTCAATTTCTACATAGAATTTTTTACTTTCATAAATATCCGCGAAATAGTTCAGTGGAAAGTATAAAAATATCGTATTTATTAAAGACAGTTCCAAGACAATCCCAAACTGGGACCTGTATAAAGCTGGACCGACCGGACTCTTAGTATTCTCTCGATTTGCATTTTAATGATATTGATTGCCGATTCATCAGTAAATCTAGCCTTGATTGTATGCTGATATGTAATACCCCTCTCGCGTGTATGAGAAAAACGTATTCGTATTTTATAATCTCTCGCTTACAGCGTCAAGCCAGTTCATGGCAAAATAAACCATGGATAATAATTTGTATTTTTTACTTGATTTCATAAATAGGCACAAAAATTAAGCACTATGTAAATTTTGTGTTAAATAATTACAAAAAATCACGAAATCACACAAGCAATACGTACATGTACATGTATATAAAAATGCGAATGTTCTTGATTTTTCATCAATGTGTCAAATAATAACTTTACCATATAACAATAAGTATTTTTCAGCAAAAAATTCAGCTTAAATCGAAAAAGAAATTAAATTCAACAAAATATCTATAATATATAATGAATCGAAAATTGATCATACCTCAAAGAACCCAGGCAATAATATACAAATACAGAGAATTCTGGACAGAACTAAGCATCATTTAGTAAAGGTTGGTTTAAATCCAACGACATCAAATGCACAAGTTCAATAAATAAAAGTACGTATAATGAATTTTAGTAAAAAAAAGTATGAACAACTCACTCTCATTAACTCTTGATATAGTGAAATTCCCGATATAGTGAACACCAGTCAACAATAAATTTCCTCGTTATATTGTAGTGAATTTACTAATAAACTCTCGAGATAGTGAGTGTCCAGACACATTCAACATTACGAGAGTGAGTTGTTTTAACGATTAATAAAAATTGAATTCTTGAAACAATATCTATTACTAAATTATTTTCTGTTGATAAGTTTGGAGTGTATTTGTATCGCTATGTGACTATGAAATATTGCAAATATAAATCTAGACCTCATATACAAAAAAAAGACAGCGTCAAAAAGAAGACAGTGTCAAAAAACAGACAATGTAAAAAAAACAGCGTAAAAAAAGACAATGCAAAAAAGGACAGCAACAAAAAGAAGACAGTGCCAAAAAATGAGACAATGTCAAAAAAAACAGCGTCAACAAAAGTGTCAAAAAAGACAGTATCAAAAAAAGACAGCGTCAAAAAAAAAAATGCTAACTATATTCTTTATAATGATAATGTTTGGTCTGCATACGTACGTATTAAGATTGAAGCATTGTTCAATGATACACACGAATTATTCTTGTACGATAGCACTGACTCTATTTCTCAGACTTACATACATAGACGTTTAAGAAAAGACTTGAAGTGTCAAAACAAAGACGTGAGTTTGTATGAAGTTTTAAATAGTGGCTAAATTTCCATATCAAGTAAAAATACTCTGTTTTCATTGTACGCGAATAAAGTTAAAATTTCACGTACTCAAAATAAAGCTGTCGGTGAATGAAATTAAGCAATTTTGTTGGATGCTTATGTATTCTATAGACAAAATAAGCAACTGGAATATCACTCCGATTAACTTTCCTTTAACGCTTTTTAGATCTTCCGATCTCAGTCGACGGTATCTTCACATGTAGTATTTATGATCCGATAGAGAGTGAATTTTCACACGAGACTACATTATTAATCTTACCGAAAAGACAGACAATTCGGCAAATTCCGGCAGCCTTTATTCTCTAAAAATCTCTAATAGACACACATGCACCATTTTTTTCGCGCCAAAGACAATAGACGAATAAATCGCATTCAACCGCGCCGCTGGCAATCATTCGCGAATATCCACGAACATTTACACAAGCGCCTATTCCAACAATATCATTATAAAGGCAATTAATCAATCATCATTCATTGCATTCACTTCAACACCATATTAGGAAGTTGGAATACAATTATTTCCATATGCGGATAGATTTATGCCGATCATCTATTATTCTCCAGTAAAAGTTAGAACAAGCTATTTGTGCCAATTTAAGAAATTTATAATTACATATACGTTTTCTCGAAATTACAACGCAGACAATGAATGAAATAAGTTATAGCTGACAAAATAGGCTCGAGAAAAACACAATCATCATCATCCCACATGGACTCTTTAAATCAGGCAAAACTGCCATTGTCCGTAAATTTCTCTGTATCAGGGGTACGTATTTAGAACAACAGGGTTCACAAGACACTATGATGTGTATGTAAGAAAGACTTGCATTTAATAAAAAGGGGTTTTTGATAAGGTTTTTATTTTCGGTCCGGGGCACAACATTCACACTGAATTGTATTGTCTTGATTGTTACATGTGTACGATTTTATTATAAAAAGGCGAACGGTTTCGAGCAGGTCGTTTTCTCTTTGAGGTTCTCGATTGTTTAGACACTTAAATTTGAGTTCTTCGAATTAAAGTGAAATATCATCATACTCTACACAATCATTCCTTCATTTTTTTTATAATTCAAACCAAACTAATAATTCATTTTAGACTCGCCTGGTTCGAGTCTGGTAACATAGACTCACGTTCTTCACGAGCACAATTTAATGTCCCCTTTCCGATATGGCATTAACACGATTCATTCCCTAAAAACAAAATTGTCAAAAAAGCTAGTCATTTTTCAAGTTGTTGTTTCGCCATTCTTCCAAAGTTCTCAACGAATTTTTCGGCAATTACGAATATGAATTGTGGACGAAGCGATACATGGAGCGATGGACATTCATTGTGTTCGATGCAAACAGCGTTCATATAAAACTTTTTACTCTAATATCTTATCTAATTGTACATTATAATGTTTTTACCGAAAAGAATCCATCTTCTTTTTCTGTAAATATGTTTTTCCCCAAAAACTTCTTGTATATTTTGTAGATTTGCATTTTCTTCTCTTTTATTTTTTCTGTATTTTACAAAAAACAAAAAACCATTTTATTTATCAATTCCCAAAAAACAAAAAACATTTTATTTACCAATTCCCAAAAAAAAAGATTTATTTATTTGCTTCTTGTTGTCCCCTAAGATCTCGGTCTTCTAAGCTACTGTTACCCTAAGAAAAGTTGCTATAACAACCAAACACTATATATACAAAGTTTGAACAGCATTTGATTACTTACACATAATGATATCGGTTTAGCTTTTCTCGTTCAAAAAGATTTCTTAATTCTTGATTATTTTTCTACTTAAGCTTTTTTAATCCCTTTAAGATTTTTATTTAAATAATGCTAGGTAAATCATTTCAAAAAATGCAGATGATATCGTATCAAAATATGCTTATTGAAATTATGTAATAGATAAAAATAAAGATAACTCTTATAAGTCTTGTTTGAAGTCTAGAAGTTATGGTTTTTTTTTGACACTTCGCTACTAAAAGCCAATTTACAATAACTGCTAGTCTATTGTATTCGGCGTTGATTATATAAAATACCTTATCATTATTGTTTTAGGTAAAATCAACTGATTACCCTGATGCATTTCTGTCGAACTAATGCTAACAATATTTACATCGATCCGCGCGTATTCCGACGAGATCATCTGATGCGTGAAACAGGTAAAGCCAAACAACTAAAAGACGAGAAATTTCCCAATCCTACCAAAGTTCGAAAAAATTATGAAATCTCCTGATTCCTTGTGACCACTTACAAATACGTATGCATGATGCATGAGCCAATCGGTTTGTTTCAAAATATTAATGCCGGCCGACATTTTTAGCAAAGCGGTACGCTTTAAATCCTTGCCAGTCGTAAACATTCGTGTACACTTTTCTTTGACAATACAAATACACCTTTTTGTTTTGTGGAGTACACGGATGAATAGTGTTAGATCGTCACTTAATGTACTGACTGTATGTACATGTAGGTATTTGATGAACACTGATAAACCCTGTGTATCATTTAACATCGCATCGTGTTTCTCTTTTTTAATTTTTTTTTTCAAATTCAATGACATGACAATTCATTTTGTTGAAACAGATGAAAATAATCAACAGGTTTCTCATACAAACAAACAGCAGTTTTTCATTTGTTTTATGTGAATTCGCATGAATTAATTGAACATTGACATACAAAGCCAACAAGAAAAAACTAAATTCGTTCGTATTGTCCCATGTGCCAAACAATTCATTCTATTCGACTAAGTACATGCGCGAAGAAAATACCATCAATACACAATGCATTGTACAAATGTAGCTGTCTCGTACAACTTCAACCATTAATTCAACGCTCCATCTCTTAAAAGCTCTAATCATAATTAAATTTTGCCATAATTATAAATCACACAGTTCCATTTCCATAAAAGTGGTGGTTTGTACATAACGATAAAACAATCGAATAATCTTCTGTCGAATTTTGTGCGATAGGCCGATATATTACGACATGTTACATAGCGAAATCTGTGGTGAAACGGAGAATACTATACTACTATACCCGTTATATGTACATGTAATACATGTAAATGATAACATTAGTATGTAAATAGTCTCATATAAATAGTATTTTATTACAAAAATAGGTATTAAGCATTTAAAGCTATATAAAGAAAAGGAACAAAAAGTGAATATATATTTTTTTCTCCAAGAGCTTAATTAATTCTCGCAAAAGTAAACATTCACGGAACGACAAAACGCAAAAGCAGACCGTGCACACGTATCTTATTGTAGAGTTAGTCATCTTTCGGGTCAGCTTTTGTCGTTTCGTTTACTTTACCCTTTTAACCTTCACCAATACGCGCCCGCAAATCCACCTAAACATAGACACACGCTATATTACGCAATTCACTCATTTAACTTAATCGAACGACTTCAAAGATACGAGCAAAGCATTCGGTGAAAAAACGCAAGGACGTTTGGAGTTTACAAGATCATTAGAATTTCTCCATTTGACTTTTTAGTTTCATTAAGGTCGTGTTATTTTTAGATATATTACAGATACCGTCATACAGACTATTCCGGTATCTGCTGCACCAGTATTCATAGTACTGCGAAAAAAACAAGCGAATCATTGCCAAACTATTATTACTTTGAAACTAATAACGCCTGGCGCGTTTTCTATATATTTGCATTTTTTTTATTTTCGATTTTTCCCCCTAACCAAACATAGTTTTTTATTTTGCATTTTATCATTGCACATACCACTTTAACTATAGAAGATTTTTGCTTTTTGTACAATAGTAACTCTTTATTGCACTATTACTATTAAAACATCAATATTTCTTAATAATAATACATAATAATAATAATAATATACACATCCGCAAAATGCGAAAACGCTCGTCACTAGTGATCACACTACTACTCCTATACTCTTCGCTCCTATCTACAGTCTCGGCAACAAAAGTGAAAATAGAACCGTTTGAGCATCTCTCGTTCCTCTCGCAAACATACTTTGTCGAATATGACAAATTAGTACTACCACAAATATCGAACTTTAAGGTCGCCGACTTTCTAGACATGGATGGCCAATCAATTTCGTCACTTGCACAAAAATTTTTAGGAAATATCAAATTGTCGGGCGTAAATTTCAAACTAAGAAACTCGTTTGACGAGTTACTTGATGCTGTGACGATCACTGTTGATAGTCAGGACGATTTGGACAAGTTGAACAGTATGAGTATCGTAAAGAGTATCCAGCCTGTGGTAAGTGTGTACGAAGTGACTATGTTTGAAACAGTGTTATTTTCTCCTGATTAGTTATTAATTAAATACATGTATACTGTAGTCGGTTGTTAATCGCCCGAAAATACTTGTGAATGACAATATCAATGACAGTCAAGTTTCTCCGTCACTTTTTTATACCGATAAATTGACCGGAGTTGCCGAGGTTCAAGCAAAAACGAAATACAGAGGAAAAAATATCAAGGTAAGAGAATGAGGATCGCTCGTTTTCAATCCGATCCGATAAATGACACAAAAATCAAAAATCAATTAATAATTAATAATCATATATATCAGGTTGGAATAATTGATACTGGCATTGATTATACACATCCAGCATTTGGTAATTGTTATAAGACGAAAGGATGCAAAATTCAATATGGATATGATTTTGTCGGTGACGCGTTCAATGGCACTAATGCACCGCAAAGTGACGATGACCCATTGGATCAATGTTCCGGACACGGAACGCATGTGGCTGGTATTCTCGCAGCTGATGATAAGGTCAAAAATTTTACTGGTGTCGCACCCGGTGGTAAGTATTTTTTTTATCCATCTACATGTAGTTGATTGATCACACGTGTCAATTAATCATTTTTATTCTAATTTTTAGTGACGTTAGGAATATACCGAATTTTTGGATGCAATGGCACATCGGCTAATGACTTGGTGATTAAAGCAATGGAACGAGCATATAAAGATGGAATGGATATCATCAATCTTTCACTTGGAGCTAGTGGTGGTGGTTGGGCAGAGCGTCCTGCAGCAGCGGCCGCTGAAAAACTGATTGCTAAGGGAGTCGTTATAGTAGCTGCAATTGGCAATGATGGTGATCAAGGGATTTTCCAAACTCAAGCACCTGGTGTGGCACTGAGCGCGATTTCGGTCTCCGCAGTTGAGAATTCGAAATTCGCATCATATTATCTCACCATCAGTTCTGCATCCGACAAGAAGATTGAATACTCGACTCAGAACTTAACACGATTCAATATTAGCGGAAATCCCGAAATCGTAGCCACAAGTGATAGCATCAATGTGACCGAGGACGCATGCAAAGCTCAACCAGCAAATTCTCTAACCGGAAAAATAGCATTGATTCGACGTGGAGGCTGTCCGTTCACACAAAAATTGGCGAATGCTCAGACAGCCGGTGCGGTCGGAATCATATTCTACGATAATGTCATTTCCGTGCTTTTCCCACCAGTTGTAGATGCCAAAATTCCAGCCGCGTTAATTCGTGCAGAGAGCGGTGAATTTATATTCAATCAAATAAAGAAGAACAAGAATGTAACGGTTACCTTTTCCAAGGAAACTTTTCCATTTGCGAATCCGAAAGCTGGAAAAATATCATCCTTCAGTTCGTTTGGACCCTCGAATGAGTTGGACATCAAGCCTGAAATTGCTGCGCCAGGGGGTGAAATTTTTAGCACTTATCCCGTAAAACTTGGTTCTTATAAAACAATCTCGGGTACGAGTATGGCATCACCATATTTTGCAGGTTGTGTGGCGATTCTCTTCGAGGCAAAGGGTAAATTGAATGCAAGTGAAACGAAAAAATTGTTTATGAATACTGCGCATCCAATTCAAATATTTAATGCAACAAGTCAGACACGACCGCAAACATCGATTAACAAACAAGGGGCTGGACTAGTTAATTTATTGGATGCATTATCTTCAACTATCAGCATCTCGCCTCCTAAGCTCTCATTAAATGACACCGCGAATCACAAAGCTCGAAACACAATAAAAATCAAAAACTCTGGAAAAAACACCGTGAAACTTACAGTTACACATGTTGGAGCACAAGCAATAAATGGATATAATTTTTCGCAATCATTTGTGCCACAACAACAACCAATATTCCAAAACTCGTTTGCTAAGGTAAACATTTCAGAATCGTCAATCGAGCTTAGACCTGGACAATTAAAGAGTATTAAAGTTACAATCAAGCCACCACCTGATTTGGATAACGATGCATACTTTTTGTACTCGGGACTTATTCTCTTCACGGATAAAGCCAATAACAAATCGTATAGTGTTCCGTATATGGGAATGAAAGGAATCTATAAAACACTTCCAATTCTTGATACTTCTGTCGGTACACCGTTCATTCAAACAAAGGATGCTGACATCTATACAGATCGCAAGCAAAATGTGACTTTTACTTTGCAAAAAGACGATGATCCAATATTAGTTGTACGTCTTGGACAAGGAACTCGTATTTTGTCCGTGGATGTAGTTCCAGCAGACACCAAAATTCAATCGAACGTTGGAGGACTAAATAGCTCCATTTCCTCTTTACCACCATCAACACCTGCTTCAGTTTCTTCTGACACAAAAAATAGCCAGAAAAAAGGCAAGTCAAAATCAAAATCAAAGTCAAAGTCAAAATCAAAATCCAAGTCAAAGTCAAAATCAAAATCCAAGTCAAAATCAAAAAGGTCACTTGGCAGATTATATCGACGAATTCCTCAAGTTGATAGTGTCGAGAGCACAGAGCTGTCACCACATGATGTTCAAATCGGAGCTGATGTAGTTCCAGGCTCGTTGGGTAAAATTTCAATCTGTGGCGTAAGTTATTACGTTGCACGAAATCAACAGACCGGTCCCAAACGTGCCACTCCAATTATCTGGAACGGAAAAGTGGATACCGTCGATGGTAAACGTAATGTAGAAGTGCCGAACGGATCATATCGACTAGTGGTTTTAGCCTTGAAATTATATGGTGATGAAAAGTCTAAAAATGATTGGGAAATATGGGTTAGTCCCCGATTGGATATACAACGTCCGTAATTAGTGAATAGCACCTTCGACATCTACACCTAATTGAAAAGAATAATTTATTGAGCAATCGTTGACGATTTGATCATATTCCGAATTAATTTTGTATGTTGTGGGACAAAGTATATATATTTGTTTTAAAGAAAATGCATGCATTGAATGTATAATTGTATTTTGCGAGCTCATATTTTTGCTTTGTATTATTCCTCAGCTTCATTTTCATATATAGTATTTTATTTTTTGTAATACATAAAAAATTATCATAAGACACGATCAACAGTTTAGAAATAACGATAATATCCTATTTATAACTATGCATACATGTACCGGTACGCATACTGGTCTACAATACATTACAAATATTATTGATCTTTCTGTTTTTTACTATCATCTCATAAAATCATGGAAAGATGGGGCTTAGTGTTCCATCGCTGTACTTATATACCTATCTTATATACTTTGAAGACCTTTTTCCAATATTCAACTTTTAGAGCGTGAAATTTGTTTGTGTTTTATTGATTATCTCACCACGGCGTAAATGCACATCTCAATACCAGAAACTTCCAACTTTTCTTCACATATAGAACAAGATAACACCTTCATTGTCTGCAATCCTTGCCCCGAGTTGACTGTATTAAGGGAAGGTAACACGAAAAAATCATTTGACTCGTCTACGATTTGGCCAAAGAGGAATTTTGTTTCACTCTTAAAAATTTCACCTGTGTGGTATTTGGAATAAAGTAATTTATACGATGTAATAAAAAGATAACGTATTCTACTCTTGGAAGTTTATACAGAATTTCACGATGACTTGTTACTAAAAACTAGATAAAGTCAGATTAGACTTCGTGTTTTAACTATGTCCAAGATGCGATTGTTTATTAGGCGAAACCATAAGCATTATCGATATGTCGTTAATTCGAATATATTTATCTTTGTGAATAATTTAACGAAAGAGAATTATATTAAATTACACGATGTAATTTGGAATACATTTAAAAGAACAGAAAGTGAGCATCAGTTAGAGATGTCAAGTGTCTGATTCCATAGAAGTCCCAGTTTGGAATTGTCGTTTGATAAATGTGATTTCATGCAACAATCGATCGAGATGTTTACAATGAATAAATCACTGGACTTGGATATTTTACTGCTCTACACAACAATTACATATATCAGTCAAAAAATCATGTGAATTGTTCTTTTTTAGGTTTGAGACTGGAGTCCGAACAAAAGCTGGACTACCTAATTAGGGGTTTAGAAGCCAGTTTCAGACTCAGCCTTGACTTATTAACATCACTAGTTCAGGTGAATATGGGGGTGAAACTAAGCAAATTATATATGAAAGACATATATAATTTGCTTTGTTTCTATTGACTCATCCCCATATATTTTCGAAGTTAGAATGTGTGGTACCGTATTCTGCTGGGAATAAGCGCCATTCAAAAAGATTATTAAACAATTAATAACGATAAGCACCACCACTATAAAAATTGCCTTAAATGGCGATAACTTTGAATTAGGAGGAATGTACAGAAATAAGCGCCATCTCGTTTTTCAGAGATCAAAAAGTGGCTTATTTCCGGCAGAATACGGTAACCCATTTTAGTATTATAATCCAAAATTGAATTAACTTTCAATCGTGTCATAGTTGACAAACGACAAGTTACATCAATTATTAGATCATCCTCTTTCTGATGATACTACACGGAGAATTTGTTCTTTATGGTAATCAGATTTGAATTTATTTCATCAGTCGTGCTTTCGATATTATTTTTAATTGCAAATATTCAACATGTTTCGATTAGATTGAATTGATTCCTATAATAAAACAAAAACATTATACAAGTGATTATTTTACTTTTGTAAGCGCGCAAGAATTTGGTTAAGATGAGAGCATATATGTAATTTTGATTATATTTGGGTTGTGTGAAATAGAAACGGTGTAAAATATATAGTAAATTATCATATGACTTGCACCGTTTCTATTGACTCACCCCATTTAGAAAAACAATGTAAATATATTGATGAACTTCATTTAATGTGGATTCTATATAGAATGTAGATGGTAGTTGGACCAATCTTATTGGCAATAAGAAAAAGGATGTTTAAGACTAAAAAAGATGAACATGTATCAAACTCGAGGAAATTTTTTGATTGCCAGAAGAAATTAAGTTGTTAAACGTTTTTCACTGTTATTGATATACTGTAAATAGAATAAACTTTCATTCGATGCACAGTACGTAATGGAAGTCAACTCTCGGTAAAGATAACGATGATACACATATCAACAATTTGATGTGTGTAATATCGATTACTAACGCTAATACTGATTAACCATTTATCGTTATCATAAAGATAATTCCTTTTCTAGAAATACTAAAAATATCCCAAAAAACAATACCGATACGTATCGGTATGGCTAAAAATATAGAATTCATGTCAATCTAAAACGAGCGAATTCCATTTGGACGTGTATAGCAACGCGATGAACAGTCGAGCGAACAGAATTCTGGTAATTAAATGCTAAAGAGATATTCAATGAAGTGGATTTACGAGCACAAATATTTATTTTTTTGTATAATTTTGGAATTGGTACGCAAATTGATTAAAAGCAAGCAGATTTTGGCGCAAAGTTGCTGCCACAAAATTACATGATCTGTTAGCAGATTCAACTTGGACTTTTTTTACTCTGAAGGAAACTACAATTAGAAACCAAATGGACAGAAAAAACAGCGAATACGTAATGAGTTTCGGCAACTCTATTTAACCGAACTATTATACTACATGTATAATGAATGACCTTTTAATGCTGGCGATGCTTTCAAATGGGCTAAAAAAAAAAGCTGCTTTAGCAGGATATGTCAAAACAAAATTGACGCTCAGCGATTTCTATTTCAATGTAATCAATGAGATTTACACTACGCAAATATCTATCATGCAGTGAAATGGTATTGACGTGTAGCGTTCAAAGGAAACACATGCACAAATCGGGAAACTGTTACGTATTTATTTTTATGGACTTGGTGTATATCAGCGAGACAATATCATATGACTGTCATTTCAAAAGATATGGAAAAGCTTTTTTTGCGGTATCAAAAATTTGTCACACAAAATGATTTTAAGGGTTAATAAATATGCTTATTGCTATCAAATGTTAAGGCACAAAGTAACTATAACTTTGGTTTTAGCTCTCGTCTGATAAGGTGCTACATGCAACTGTCATGCGTAGCAGAAAAGCTGGACGTATCAATGATATATGGAAAAGTAAAAATAGCTGAATGCATATATTTTATTATCCTCATAAAATATAAAAAACAACCTCTTAAATATCCCGAAAGGCTTCATAGATCACAATTAACTACATGTATCTAGTGTATCACAGACTACTTTGAAATATCAAAATTACGCTTTCCTTCAAGCAATTATTTTCTTGCAATCTCTATTTTTCAACAGTTAAGAATAATATATAGAGTTTCACAAAAATTGCTATCCCATTATAATTGAAAGATATAGGGTTCTTTTTTTGAATGTACAAATTTGCTAACGCTAATAGTAAAAGTAAATGTACACGTGTGACTAAATTTGACCAATTTTACGGCTTGAAATTCAATCTAGATTTTTTAATAAATAAGTCCACTTAACAAATGATCGATTACATAAAGTGAAGGTTTCCAAAATTGGTACATCACTAGAACATCCAATTTAACGAAGTGTTATAAACAGTTTTTCTGTTTAATGTATAATGAAGTTCATTTTCTGGAATTTAAACGGGAATTTAGTCAGTGTCTGAAATTAGTGTGCACAAATTCTTACTGATTTTTGCTGAAATATATGCATAGTATTTGCCAAATTTTTTGGAGTATAGAGCACATTTTTATAAGAGATGTTGTCTGGAATTTACACCCTGAGTACATAATTGGTCTATTACTAGAAATATGCTGTAGTATCGAAATATAAAAAATTTAATTCGTGCACATATTTTGAAAATTATTTTGACGTAATTTTTCTAATATGCTTATTGAATAACGCTGCATAAGAATCAAAAGTTGAAATATTGCATAAGAAAAGCTTGATAATTGGGAAGAAAGTTAAACGTTGAAAAAGACAGAATTGTTTTTGTAATTGCACTCCAAATTAAGTAAGTGACTCTGCTTTATATTTTTACACAATTCATGAATTAAAACACAAATATAAATTATGTGGGGTGGGGTTATGGTACAAGTGACTCTCATCATTGTAAACGCTTGTTATAATAAAGACTAATTAAAAGCCTGATATAGGTTCAGTCCAAAATAGTCGAAGATAAATACCAATAAACTCTCGATATAGTAAATTTTTGAAAAAATTTTTCTAATAGTCCGGATGCCTAGAATCACTTGTAATTGTGTAGTTTTTTCACTTAAGGTTCTTGCTGTAAAGAGCTAGTGCATACGAATATTATTTCCACCTTATTACGTGGAGCGTTCAAAAAGTTTTGACACTGCCCAATTATCTCAACAATTATCTAACCTAACCAAATTTAAAAGCATGCATATTAAAGCTTGTGTAATATACAATTAATAATAATAATTTGGCACATGTTGATTTGATAATTCTAAAGAAAAATTTTAATTTCGTCCACTAGTAACGATGGAAAATTCAACTCATAAAATCAGCGATACTACATCTGGATATGCTGGAAAAATAGTAAAGAGGCTGCTGACATCCATAAGGAGTTGGTTATAGCTAAAGGAGACAAGGCACTATCCAAATGTACTATTTATCACTGAATTGAAGTATTCGAAGCTGAACAATCAAGCATTGAAGATGCAATTCGTTCTGGACGTTTCTGCGAAACTGTTACATCTTCAAATAATAATCTTATTGAAAATCTGTAAATGAAAAATTTCATATTACTATTGATAGTATTCAGCAGGTGGTTTCCATCTCAATTGATATATTGGAACTATCTTGCAAAAGGAAATTTCTGTCACTAATATATGTACCAAATAAATTCTTCACACACTTACTAT